CTTGTTTTTCCGGAGATCGAAGCTGGACCTGGACCTGAACCTCGACTTAGCTGATCGTCCAGATCAAGCGTATGATACTCATACCCCTCATACTCTCTTGTCCATTTTCAATGGGTTCAGGGTATAATTAGCTGTCAATTCTCTGGCTAATCTCTGGGAAGCATTAATTGGCATTTTGTGAGCTTTAATTTGTTGTTGCACAGCTTTTGGTCATTTGTTTCACTAAATTTGCTGCTGTTTGTACATTAAGTCAGGTGCAACATACATATTTTGAGACAATTGTGTTTTCGTTGTTGTTATTTCGATTGACAATAATGAGCTTTTGTTTAACGATCGTCGCGGCAAAAACACAAATAACCGCGCATTTAAAAAGTAAAAAACGTTTGAGCCAAAATAAAAACAATCACTATAATTGTTTTCAATTGTTGTTGCTGTTGCGTTTTGTTGTTTTCTGTTTGTTTTTTTTTTTTTTTTGATTTTCGTGCACACCAAAATATTTCTTTGTTCGCCTCACGAAAACTGCATGAAATTCTATACAACACACACCTAAATACTTTTATACACATTCATAAATACACAACCAATATGTATGTATGTGTGTGGCAACATTGTGTGTGTGTGTGTGTGTGTGTGTGCTTTCACGTTTGTGCATTGAAAGATGCGTGGGGCATACCACGTACCAAAATTGTGCAGCAAAAGGGGGCGAAACCGGGAATCTCACTACGCATCGGGAGACAAAACTGTATTTCTGATTTGACATTTGACTTGCCGGCGCCGCCCAGCATTTCTCGTCAAATACCAAAATTAATATTCCATACACCAAATTAAATCTAATTTACAATCTGTAAACAAATTACTTATGTACAAAACAAATTTGAACGGGAAACGTGACTTGTAGAATAGTTTGCAAAAAAAAAAAAACAGACCCACAGCTAAAAAAACATAATTTTCCGTATTTTAACGATTTTCGTATGCGAAATTATACAAAAACTCTAGATGCCGGTTTCTTGGAACCTATTTTCTTTGTAGCTAACAGATTGCTTCAAGCATTTACTTTTTATTTTGTTCATATTTTCATTTTCATATTTATTTTTATTTTCTTTAAATTTATTATTCTTTTTTTATTTAATTTATTTAAATTTATTTATTCTTTCTTCTTTTTGATTTAATTTTTTTTATTTATTTATTTAAATTTATTTATTTATATGTATTTGTTTATGTATTTATTTTTTATGTATTTATTTTTTATGTATTTATTTCTATTTATTTTCTATGTATTTTTTTTTTTTTATGTATGTATTTAATTTTACTTTATTTTATTCATTTTTTTATTATTTATTATTTTTTGTATGTATTTTTATTTTATTTTTGTTTTTATTTATCTTATTATTTTTTTTTATTTATCTTATTTTTTTTAATGTATTTATTTATTATTATAGTTATGTATTTTTATTTTATTTATTTTTACTTTTTATTATTTCAAATTTTTATAATTTTTCTAATTAAAAAAACAATGTTAATTTTTTCATTTACATTTCTCTTATAAATTCACATTAAGCCCAGCTCTATAAGAAATACGGCCAATGATTTCGCAGCAAGTGTCCCTCACAGTTACTTTAGCTGAGACTCACGTTGAACCGATTGCAGTTTCACAAGAAAACTGTCAACGCCGCGACACATAAAGCATAAATGGTACAAAAAAAAGTAGAGGAAAAAAACGCAGACATGTTACAAAAAAAACGTAGACAAGACAAATCAGCAAAAAAAAAAAAAAAATTTATAAAAAAAAGAAAGAAGCAACAGATCATAAGATATGGGGCAAATATTGATAAGCGGTCTGCAACGGCACGCACGACAACGAGGGGCAGAGTGGAAGAGAGGGGCAGAGTGGAAGAGAGGGGCAGAGTAGAAGAGAGGGAGCGAGCGAGATTGAGATCTGACATACAAATTGTGTCAACAGCTGATGGCAAATTAGGAATTTGGGGCGTGGCTGCTAGGCTGAGAGGCGGCAACTAGTTGCTACTCTTGACTTGTTGCAATGAAACGCACATACACACACTCACGCACATGCCTGTCCGCTCACACCAGTTGGCACTCATAATTCAAACGGTAAACGGTAAATCAAACGGTGTGCGCACAACAAAGTGGAGCAAGAGCGAAGAACGAGAAAAAAAGGGGCCAATGGCAAAGACGAAAGATGAATGAAAGAAGTGTGGAAAAACATGACCGGAGATGGGATTAAATAGCGCAAAAGTAATTTGCAAATAGATTTGAAAAAATAGCCAAATTCAGCTAGAAAATATCTGATTTGGCCAAAATGCTTGAAAAGCTAAGAAATTGTTGTTGTCTGCCAAGAAATTGGGAACAAATCAAAGAGCTTACAAAATGTATAAATTGAGGAATATTTGAAATTAACTGACATTTGAAAGAAAAAATAAATTGAGAATCTTGCAATTAAGCAAAATCCAACAATAAATAATGAGAATATATATTAAAAGTATGTAAACATGGAACAGAAAAGCTTTTTGGGACAGAAAAGATTTTCGGGACAGAAAAGGTTTTCGGGACGGAAAAGGTTTTTGTAAAAGAAAGTTTAATAAACATATATGAGATAATACATAAAAAGTATGTATTTAAAAATTGGTAAAACATGGAACATGGAACAAATATTTATTAAAACAAAAAATTTTCAAAATATTTCAATAATATTCGCAAAAAATGTAACTGAAAGGGTTTTTGTAAAAAAAATATCTTTGAAAAATCAAGTGAAAAATAAGTAAATTAAGCTTTGGTAAAAAAATATTGTGCAAACAAGTATTTAAAAGAAATATATATTTCTGTTATCTTAAGAATATAAATATTATTAATATATGCATATATTCTTATATTTGTATATATAATTATTACTAATATAAATATAATTCAATTTCCAGACACATTTTTTTCTCTTTTTAATACTTTTATTATTTATATTCAAAGCATAATTTATATATGCCAAGCTTTAGCAAAAATATATAGAGTCTTATTCTTATTGCCAGTCACAGCTCAAATTTGTGATCTACAATGTGAGTCAGAGTGAAAAGTCACAGATACAATATTAAACTGTGACTGGACTGCATTTGTTGCTGTTTGTCATTAAGATCTGTTTTTTTTACTGGCTGATGTTGTTTTTTTGTCATTCCCAAAGTTATTTGGCATTAATTAAATTTTAATTTATTTACATATTTATTTTATTACACACACAAATTTTTTGGTCATTTGCTGTTTAATGTTTGTTGTTGTTGTTGTTGTTGCTGTTGTTGTTGTTTTTGCTTTTGATTTTTGCTGTGGCATCTGAAAAACTGGTTGGCTCAAACTTAAAATGCAGGCCGCCCCGGTTTTATTTTTGTGTTTTTTTTTTTATTTCGAATTTAATTTATGCAACATTTTTGAACAAAAATCGAAATGAAGCCAAAACGAAATCTTTTATTTGCTGCTGCTTCTGTTGTTGTGCTCCTCGATTGGCGACGGCCCCTGGGCATGGCAATCAATCGTTGGTCTGAACAACCGACCACCCCCCTCCCTCCTCCTCCTCCCCCATCACCTATTCGACACTCTCTTCACAGCCAATCGACACGAACCGAGTTTGAGTTTTGCATTGAAAACATTTCAGACTTTCCGCTTTTCTCTGCTTCCTTTTAAAGGTTTCTCGCTGTGTGTGTGCATATGATTGTATATATATATATACATAAGTGTGTATGTGTGTGTGTGTGTGTGTCTGAGCTTTAATGAGAAAGTTTTGGTTGGCTTTAATTTCATAAGACATAGTCGGCAGCGACAGCCTAAAGGTCAAGTTTGCATTTGTATGAGTCGCAGGCTGAAGGTAGGCGCAAGCGGGTATCTTGAGGGGGCAGTTTGCTTGGAAGCTGAAGGCGTGGCAAATGAAGAGTTGACGAATCGAGGCGAAATCAACGCCTGGCAACAGCTATTTGGGTCTGTGATAGACGGGATTGCGTCTTAGTCATTCAGTGGGGCGATTGATTATGTAGCCAAGCTACAAGCTGATTCATGTAGTTGCTGTCGCAATATCGATACAAATTATCGATGCAATTTATCGACTTATCGTCAGGGGTTAGATTACAGTAAATAACTGTTAAGTTTTGAGTTCTTAACTTTGATAAAAATGTCTTATGCGACAGCAATATCAATACAAACCTTCTTTATCGATTTATCGATAAACAATCTACAAGTTGACCATTTAGTTTCTCTCACAATATCGATACAATTTATCGATGCAACATAGGAGTTGGACATTAATATAAATAAATATTTTACTTTTAAATTGCTTTTCAATGAAATTAAATGTTTTTCGCTTTTGCAATATCGATACAATGTATCGATTTACCGTTAGACGTTGGATTAAAGTAAATAACTGTTAAGTTTTAAAATTTTAGCTGTGCTAAATTAGTATTAACATTAAATGAAATGTTTTTAATGTTGCAATATCGATACAATCTTTCTTCTTAAATTTATCGATAGACAACCTACAAGCTCATTTATTTATTTACTGTTTTTATCGTAAGACATTTATGTATATAACTGCTCAATTTTTGAAATATATGAATGTCGCCTTGATTTACATTTATATAAAGTATATTCCTAAATGGAAGAACATCTTGAACATTTAGCTATGAAGTCAATAATAAGAAATCTGATCAATGTAATGAGAACTTATATTGAGACCTACATAAATTCGTTCTTTAACTCAGTTAGTACTATTTGTACAATAAAACGTGTAGAATATCAATCGATTAACAGCCATATCAATCGGAGGTGATTGGTTATGCCACATTTGCAGCGCTGACATTGAACCCCATTGAACTGCATTACGATATGTGTGTAAGTACTGTTATATATATTCTTGTCAACTTGTATATATATATACTATATTAATCTGTTTAAATGTATAACACACTTAATCGAATGCTTATAACTTACGAGCCAAGCGTTCTGTGACTTACCAGCAAACCAGTTTCTACATTTGGTATTAAAATGATCTTGGAACCGTCCATTAAGTTGTGATCTCTGAGCGTACCATCCTGTAATTCCCTGTAATTAACAGATCAGAAAGAGATAGCATTAGTTAGTGTACAAAATGTGGACAGTAATGTGGCACGTGTTGCCACAAAAGCAACAGCCAGAAGAAAAAAAAACGCTCAGCAGTCAACGATCTATATTTAAGCCAAGCTGACATAGCTGATGTGACCCTTTTTTAAATACCCTGTAATCATGAAATGGTTAAGATATGTATTGCATAAAAAAACGTTAAAATTATATTAAACAATTATTACTTTATATTTCAACTTAATAGTTAAAAAATTATGAAATATTTATTATTTAATTATAATTTTTGTATTTAATAAATATATAGAACAAATATTATTGCATAAAATCATGTTATGTAAAAAATATTATTTAAAGAATTGAATTTTGTAATTAATACCCAACCTTCTTCATTCTAGCTCCAGTTTACAGGTTATTAGCCCGTCTGGCACTTGCGTCTAGACTATAAAATCTTGATTTTGCCTTATGGTTACCAAAAAATTAAAAACCAACACAACGGAAATTCGATGCAGACGTCAACAAAATGCGTTCAATTAGCTGCTACTTTTATAAACTTTAATTTCTTCATTTTTTTAAATTGTTTAAAATGAAAACAATTCACAATGAGAGCAACAACAGACACTTGAGAGAATACAAGTTCGTTCAGTCATCGAGAATATCGCATTATCGACACAATGCATGTGATTATTTGTTTATTTGAATGGGATATGGATAATATAATTAAATTGGAGATTTGTTTATTCAGCAGCCAAAAAAAAAAAAAGGAAGTTTCGAAAGTTATTGTAACATTTATGTGTTTTTATTTTTTGTTTTAATTTTTCGGTTGAATTTCTTAATTCGTTGATTTGCCCTGTCAGCACTTTTTGCATGCGTAAGGAGGTTTTGACGACACTTTGTTTAAGAAAAAGAAAAGGCAAAAGAAAAAGAAGAAGCACGAAATGTTAACGCGCATAAAAATCGATGCGTTTTTTGCCACTTTCAACAACAAAAGGAAAACGAAGTATTCTGATTTTATATAGGTACAAAGACAATGACTTCAATTTGCATAAAAGTTGCGGAGGTGGAGAGACAGAAAAAGAGAGAGGGAGAGAGAGAGGGAGGGAGAGAGATAGGGAGGGGGGAGAAGGAAAGAGGAAGAGAGAGAGAGAAAGAGAGAGAGGGAGACTTTGGTGGAAGCTGAAACAAGATCGGTGAATTAGTCAGGTAAATAAAGTGTTTGCTGTTATCGATATATGCCTATCGATAGCAGCCGCCGATAGTTATCGATCACACTTAAAATCAACACAAATATACGATAGTCAAACAATTTTAAATTGTCTTCGATTTGCCCAAGCAAGGCGTTATAGTTCCCGAGTTTTTGTGGGTCTTTTGAAATATACATAGCTCGATTCCTGATCACCTCAAGTTTAGCCTTATATTATAACGAACTAATATTTGCTGATCGGGCCGAAATTGCGACTTGCAAAACAACTCGACAAGTAAAAGGCGAGAAGGGGTTGAATTAATTGCCAATTTATAAGCGCAGCATGTAAAAAATTTCAAAGTTCAAGCACTTTACAGGTTTTTGCCCAGAACCTTCTACTCTCCACACACACACACACACATACACATATACACACGAACACACACACATACATCCTCTTTACCACCTGAAGGGGGAATTTCGCTTTCTTATTGCTGTTGGTGTCGATCGGGGGCCAAATTATTTCCATTTTCTGCTGCTTTAGCTGTTTTTTTTTTTTTCGTTTACGTTTTATTTTATATTATTTTATTCCATTTTTTTTCTTTTCTTTTTTTTTCGTGCGGGCAACCTAAAAGTCAAAAGTTAAACGCTGTTGACACTTTTCTGTTTAATTAAAAAATGTTATTGTAATTTTGGCAGTGCATTGTGCAGGTGTTAAATACAACAACAGCAACAATTGCGCTTTGTTTCTTTATTGTTGTGACTTACGAAAGGAACAAATGCTCAGCGACTAAACAAAAACAACAACAACAAAGTATAAGAACAAGAATAGGAACAGATATTGCCAACAGCAAAGAAATTCGACAATACGTTAAAATCGTCGTGAAAAATTAAGAATATCGTGTGCCAAAAGCAAAAAGTTTCTAAATATAGAAAGAGTTGCCCATAAAGAGTTGCATTATATCCCTTACTCCATCTGTAACTATTTTATTTATGCACGCGTGTGAAGTTTGGCAACATGGCCTTAAATAAAATAATAGATAGTAGCAATAGTTCGATAAGTAATCGACCTTTGGATATTGCAATCGTATTTATATTGTAAATGCATCTAAGACTTTGGGATGTATTCAGATAATTCTTCAGATCCTTCAACTTTCCGTGCAAGTGAAGTTCGGCAACATAGCTATGATCAAGTAAAATATCAACCATAACAAATTTAAGTTTCCTTAGAAATTGTTCTCACAATATGACGACATTACGATATTGTTATCACAATTCATTAATTGTGAAACTTGGCAATGTTATTAGAAGTAGAGACTTAAAGGCAACATAGCATATAACATAACATAACATAATACCCCCCCCCCCCCCCCCCACCCACTAGTGTGTAGGAATTAAAGCAAAGTACAGTCGCTTCGTGCTTAAAAATTACTTTCATACGTAATTAAGGCAAATACATACAAAGATGTATCTTTTTATCTAGGCGAATAGTACATATGTGTATGTGCATGTGCATGTGTGTCTGTAAATAATGGCCATGCCTTTGTTTTGGCTAGCAACGAGAAGCATCCATAACAAAAAGCGAGCCTTCAATCAGAAATCGAATCAGTTGAAAAGCTTCTATGTGATATATGTAGAAGATAATTCAGAATTAGCATTGAGTAAAACATTTAACATCAAGCTTAAAGCTCTCAGCTCTCAATATCGATCTACGTATGTATGTGTGTATTTAAATTGCGGCATTTTTAGGGCCTGGCCACAACTCAAGTGCGAGAGCGTACAGAGAGGAGGGACGGGCAGGAACAAAAGGCAAACTAAAACTGCAGCAACGAAGCGTCACAGCATAAATTACTTAACTTTATGTTTGCGCCAGACGGTAAGAGGAAGGCAAAAGCGCGTGTGGCACGCAGACAACACACACACATACAAGGGAAAAGCGTCGCCGTCAACTGCGCCGTCGCGGTCGCAGTCGCAGTCGCCTTGATTGCATCAGTTGACAGCGGCAGCAGCAGCGTGCTTGCTGGTTATGTTGCGGCGAAGGCGAAACAAGAAAGACAGAGAGAGAAAGAGAGCGAATGTTGCGGCGAATTGCTGTCAATGCGGTAACCCAGGCAACAACAACAACAGCGAACGAATAAACGAACGAACAACCGAATGAACGAACGAACATTAAATGACTGCATGCATGATTGATGAATTGATAAGATTTTGTTGGTTACCGCTGCCGTTGCTGCTGCTGTTGGACACGAAAAAGCGAAGCGTATTTGGGTCAGCAGCAAGAGGCGTGGCAGTCGCTGCAAACACTGCACGCACACGCCACAAACCGATACACACCCACAGACAAACACATTGAAATGAACCGCATTAATTTTCATTCATTGCTGCTTACGTAAATTGCTAGTGGCAATATGCGGCATGTTGCACAATATACATGTACATCTATCTAGCCGCCAACATGTTTATAGGCAAGCGCATGGGAGAGAGCGAGAGAGCGTCACGCTACGTAGCATAACGTAACGGCGAAAGAAAGCTGTGACTGCCCCGACATAGCAACAATCACACACACACAAACATATATACATACACAAGCAACATATTCACAGCAGGTGCCAAAACTCACCACACATGAGAATCAAACAGCATGGCGACCATAGCAGCCGCAGCAGCAGTAGCAACAGCATTGAGAGCAGACGCCGCAGCCACCGTCCAGACTTAAAGTTACTTAAGCTTTAAAGAGTTTTAAGGCAGCATATAAAATGTTGCACACATACAGACACACATTCATACACACTAAAAGGCGTTTGCATTGGTATTGGCGTTTGAGAGGTGTGGCGGCTGCCGAGTGTCTGTGTGCGCGTCGCTTTTGTCTGCGGGGGTGTCTGCGTTAGCGTCGCGTCGCTGCTTTTACGCAATAGGCAGACGCTGTCGACGCTGACGTCTGACAAACGAAGGCCAAACGAGGCTCGTGGCCAGGCCCTGGCGGAGCCGGCGTATGCCCAGACAGAGAGACAGACTCGACCACCATCCCCCCCATCTCCCCCTCCTATTATTAAACAGCGGCGTGCAGGGGAAAGGGGGTCACCCACAACAAATTGAAAATGTGCGAACCTTTTTTCGTCACCAGTTGCTCTACAACTGTTAACAGTCAGATACTCTTCTGCGCCGTTTAGGTTCTCAAACTGTACACAGCACATGGGCCTGGCGTACATACATATGTATGTATGTATGTGTATGTATTTAAGGTTATGTTTGCTTTTTCATGTGATCAATGCTCTCTCTCTCTCTCTCTCTCTGCCTCTCTCTCCCATTGTCTTGCTTTATACGACGCTCTCTTCATTTGTTTCTCTATTTGCTGTGGGTTTATTTGATAAGCTGCTTAAAATGCAGCATTTAACATCTTTCCAGCTATGTAATATAAAATCAACCCAAACGGCAACAACACAACATAAAATTCCACCACCTTGCAGACAGACACACACACACACGCACACACAGCTAGCACATAAAGAGAGAGAACGAAAGACGTAAATTATGATGTTTATTGTGCTGCGCCCTGCTTAGGCCTGGCCACAACAGGACAAGGACTCGTGAGTCAGTGCATAAGACGGATATAAGCAATTGAAGCGTAGAAGAAAATCTCAACACACACACACACACGCGCGTAAACACACTTGAGCATTTGGAAAAATGAAGCTGCCAAGTGAGAAATTCCACCACCAGCAACCAAGCAACCAAGCAACGCACAAAGGAAGCAACCACCAAAGGCCTGCCCTGTGTTGCCATCTTGTCATGTGGGTCGATG